CTGTAACTTGGAAAATGCATCTAGAAGTGATATAAAAAATATTCTAAACCAAAAGAAGACTCAAACAACTTAAAGTAGATTTCAAACATATTTATTACTATGAATGGTAATATGTGGCATACTTCAGAAAACAACAACGTTTGCGAAGCATTCTCTTATACATCTCGTCATTAAAATATTTCAAATCTATATTGTTACTGTGAGTGGCACAAGTCATTCTGAATTGCATTGAACCAGTATAATAAAACAAACAGAATCATTTTCAACAAGTCTACATCTACCCTACCAGAAAACTCAACAAACAGAATTTCAACGTCTCGAGCTAAAAGACGATCCACGTTCTACAATATATATATATGGCTCATCTGACTTACCTCAGGTTTTTTGTTTTTTTAATGTAGCCTAGATGTTTTTTTGACACCCGTATCGACAGAATCTAGACTATTTAGGTGTGATTTGACCGGGGGCTGCCCAGTTTGTCACAGTCCCAGTTTGTCATAATTACAGCACTATAACACTCTAGTTGTAACTGAAGTTTTTGTTTATTCTCCATCTTCAAATTGGTGGTGTAGATAGTTCCTTAAAAATGTCAATTCAGCTTGTGTTGTTCAATATTTCTTCCTTTTTGTATGCAATCAAAGCAAATTTAAATTACTCTGTAAAATTTCTACAATGAATGTTCTTTCGTTTAAAACAATTGAAAAATAAAATTCAATTCATACAATCAATCAGTCATGAATTTTCTCTTTTCGAGAGTGTCAGTGATAACTTCCATCATGCAGGGCACAGTCGAGGTCTGTGACAAACTGGGTCTATAACAAACTAGGCCTATGACAAACTGGCATGCTTCCTCCTTGACCCCGACTGTCAGGGCCAATCCTGGCTCAGAAAGATACAACATCCGAGCAGAAAGACCGAGATCAGATACTCAATAAACATTCTCCTTTCTTGGGAATCAAAATCGGGTCTCCTGCATGCAACAGTGAAGCTCACTATGTACTACACCACAGACACCCATTGCTTCAGGGCTGCTTTGGTTTGGGTTTAGAACTGTGAGAAAACATCTCCTACTTGACACAAGCCTGGATTGTAAGCCAGTACTCTTGGCATTACTTGATACAGTGAAGTAGACGGGAACAAAAAATTCTAACATTGTCTGTGTGGTTTTCTAAACACGTTTGTCAATTGAAAAAAATTTTCCAGTAGATATTTCAGGAGAAGAAGAAAAGTGACTCTCCCCTTCACTCTGATGCGTTGTATTTAAAATTTAAGAGTAAAAATCGCAAGATGTTTTTACCATTTATAAATGACAAAAAGTTCATGATTTTCGTGTATACACAATCACCTCCTGAGGAAAATAGGGGAGGAGAAAAAGGAAACTCCAAAAATTCTGGACATTTCAATTTTCAAGAATTACATCAATGACATAAACACCTTCATAGAATGTGCGTAAGTGGTTATTAAAGAACTCGTGGTCGTTTCGTTATAACAGTACATTTCCTAAAAAAAACTTAATAAAGCATGTTTACACACCATATACGCCTACAATATTAATTGATTTCATACAAGAGATATAAATCCAATCTAAAGCAGATTTTTATACTTCCATTATATAAATATTATGCTTAAGTTGTACATTGAATCTAGGAAACACTTGACTAGGGTAATGTATAATGATGAGCATAATACTTAATTATTATATATAAATACATGAAGTCTGTTTACCAATAGCGGAAGCCTGAAAAGAATACTGTCTGTTGCCATAAAACTTTGCTGCCTGAGAGTTCACAATGAGATAAAACAAAGGATTTTGGTTCAAACCCACCTTATTTGGCAAGACAAAAGGAACATACAAGAAAATGACAAGAAAATGATAAAAAAGATGGTGAAAGTGGTGGTCTTGGATGATGAGGATAATGGTGATGATGATGATTTTCTCTGGTCTTCCCGATTTGTTTTTATCGCACCTTTTGACATTATGACAAATATGCGCGCATTTTTGTTGCTATAGCTTGTAGTCAATAGATTTTCGATTACATTTTTTTGTACATGTTCCTGAAGAAGCCATTTACTGGGCGAAATGTCAAACTTATTAAATTTGAAAAGTCTACCAAGTCTCATACCCTTTTATTCCCATGCTATCTACGATGGTGATGATGATGATGATGATGATGATGATGATGATGATGATGATGATGATGATGATGGTGATGATGATGATTATGATGATGATGATGATGATGATGATGATGATGATGGTGGTGATGATGAAGAGGATAAGAGTTTCTTCTAGTGTTATAATGTTACATTAATTGTGTAGATTTTCATTTGGCAGACTGGCAGTGGAAGCACAAATCACAAAAATTGATTTTTCTCAAACTGGAATCATGGACACATTACTTGAAAAAGAAACTGGCATTATATTGCTTTCCTTTCAGTCAGTAATAAATAACACAACAAGAATAATTGTCAAGAAAACACATGACATAATATAATAATATACATGTGATATAGTGGAAATATTTTTAAAGATAATACACGTAATATTATAATAATATTATGAATATACACGTAACATTATCTAAAGGCACATCTATCTCACAAGGAAATAGTTCAACAGGTTGAGTGACTAGAAATATGTTATATAACATGCAGTGATAATGCACATTTTTTTGAAAAATTAAATAAACAGAAACAGTTTTTGAATCAGCAAAATTTAGAAAGCTAGCATAGCAGTGCTCATTGTTTAGATCAACAGTCCGAGGCACAATCTTGTTTTCTCTCGTTTGGTTATTTTTTTACCCCCAAAAAATTATTATTATAGAAACGGAAAACTGAAATGTAAAACATAAACAGATTCAGATCGCTTTAAAAAAAAAAAAAGAATTAAAAAATTGTATATATGTCTGAATGCTTTTTGTTTGTGAATGCTTTTTGAGTGTGTGTGTGTATTTATGTGTATGTGTGTGTGTGTATATGTTGGTGTGCGTTTGTGTGTGTGTGCATGTGAGATGCTTTATTAGTAACTCGTCCACCCCTCAACTGCAACCCCCCAACTCACTTTGTTATCCTCCCCCTTTTCTCAAACTTCCGACAACCTGTTTGAGCAAAATTAAATTTGTGGAAGAGATGCTCAATAAAAACAACCAAACAAACCAAACAGGAAACATAATATATAAGTATGTGTGTGGTTGTGTGTATGTGTGTGTAAGTGTGTATGTGTGTGCACGTATGTGTGTATGCACGTGTGTGTCCGTGAATATAAACCAACATATTTAATATTTGTCAGCAGATCAACTTTCGTTCAGCAGTTCAATACATGTAAAAAAGTTTTCCAGGGACCAAAATGTAGATCTCTGTCAGATCACACGGCTAGCTCAGTTATCATCCTCAACACACATTTGGGCTGTTTTCACAGGTACATGCACAATATGTGTCACGATGCGGTAGAATCAGGCGCTCATCAATTTTGGGGCACCTGGAGCTATTGGTATCATCTTAAAGCTTGCTCATCTGACCATCTTCAGATTAAAAAATACACGCCTATCTGGAGCTATTGGTATCATCTTAAAGCTTGTTCATTTGACCATCTTCAGATTTAAAAAAAATACAAGCCTATCTAGAATAAAAGTTGAGATATTAGCAATTGAAAGAGGTCGGGATTGCCTTGTTTCAAATGTAAAATAAGCAAGAAATGGCCGCCAAAGTTTGGTGATTTCCAAAGCTTGAGAGTCCTTGCAAACTGAAAATATGCATTTGTTGTGGCTTAAATTATTGTTTTTCGGTAAATTCCACACAGAAATGTTTTTGAATGGACATAAAAGGTGTTGAGCCATAAAAACAAAAATTATTTAAAAGATTGTCATACAGGAGGGAAAAAGCCAATATCTTCAATTTCATTATTTTTGAGGCACGCCTGATTCCACCACGATGCCTCACATATCTTCTCTTCAGCCCGTTAATCATACACGTTGTAACAAATCACACGTTGCAAGGAAGTAAAAGTAGATCAGAATCTTTGGATATGGTTTTCTTTGTCAAAAAGTCAACAAGGAACAAATTCCATCACATCAAAAATGATGGCAAAACAAGACAAGATACACTGGAAGACACACTTGTGGTAGCAGTCTTGTGTGCATAGTTAGCTCAGCTAAACAAGGATGAGAAGGACTTTGGTTTGAATCCCCAGCGGCCAGCTTTTTTAAAGCTGTTTTGAAAGTTTTACAGGCTCTTCTTCTATTGTGACCAGATCCTGTTGGGTATCAATGTTAAATCTGGAGGTTTGACCTCTTATCAAACATGCTGAGTGGGTGGTTGGCAGGTGCTCTGGTGTGGTTTGCTCCTTCTTTCCTATCAAACATCTATCGTTCTGATCTATCCTCCTTTTTTGTGTGTTTGTTACTCCCTTGCATTACCACTAAACTTCGGCGCTTATATGACCTTATTGTGTTGCAAAACTTTTACAAAAAAAAAAAAAAAAAAAAAAAGCACGATGAAAGTGCTGACAGGGGGTTTGAACCCATACCATACACCATGGGTCACCAAACTTTTGTTTAAAGTGGGCCGGACGATTGAGCGAATTCCGGGCATGGACTAGATAATTATCAGAAATTCCAAGTTCATTTCAAATAATTGTTTTTGTTTTTCAATTAAATTCAATACAATACACCGTGGTGATAAATGAAAATTTTTTCATTTTTGCAGAGAACGAGGTGTGACACTTTAGGTCGAAGTTGTAAAGTTTGTAAAAGCATATTTAATTTCTACTGTAAGAGTTCAATGAAATGATGAACGAGGTGAGCAAGCCCTGAGCACAAACATTCTGTAAGTTTTTGTCCCACATGGTGGCACGGTGACCGGTCAAACAAACTCATCTCCAGGCCTGGATCTGGCCCCAGGGCTGTAGCTTGGCAACCCCTTTTAGTTTAGCTTTAGTTAGTGTTTTACGGCACTTGCAACACAATAAGGTCATATAAGTACCGAAGATTAAAGGTGTTACAAGAGAGTAACAAACACAAAAAAGAAGTAGTGGAGATCAGGACGATAGATGTTTGATAGGAAAGAAGAAGCAAACTAGGCAACCCCTGCCACACACAATCAATCTGACCCCAAGGCTGAAGAATCACAGCATCAACAACGAATTGGGGAGCTACATGAAGTGTTTTCCTCATCCACACAGATCCCCTCATCAGTTACACTCCTCTCTTTCTTCGTCTGCTTCATCTTTCTTCCAGTCAAATCTACCGACAGATCCTGTTGATGACCATCTCTGAGTAAGCAGCGTTGATGTCTCCTTCGACATGGTAGCGTCGTGAATGTTCTCCGGACAGATAACTGAACATTTCTGTCAGGTTCTGACGTTCTGGAGACATCTGTCAATGGAAAAAAAGAAAGAGAGAAAATGTTATTACTATCACATTATCGTTTAAAAAATTCTTCTTCTTATCGTTACTGCTATAGATACTTGGCCCCCCCTTATTTACATTAAAAACCAATCTGGAAACCCGGCTGATGAGGGGAGGTTAATCACGATTTTTCTTGCACGAGAAACTTCAGTCACGAGAAAGTTAAGCACGAGGTAGGGACTGAACTAACGTCAATCTCAGTATGGAAAATCAACCTACACTTTGTTTGAAACCAAATAAAGGTTTGTGCAGTTGAAAAAGGTAGTATTTCGTATTTATATTTCGTTTAATCATTCGTCTGAATATGTGTATAGTGCCTGTTTACTTAATGGTTATCGTTATTATCCTTTAAAAAGGAAGTGAGCAATTCAGAGCACAAAGTTTTGATGAGATGAGTGAACGTCGCACTGACTCGACCCTCTAGAAAAACCACCGGCCAAAGCCTCAATGTTCCCCACATGTGCCCGAAATGGTTCTGAAGCGTTCTCTAACAACCAGTTTTCTATTACTTATACCTCTATCCCCATCTGAACCATTAGTAATTTATTCAGAATTTGTTTATACAAGTACTAGCTAACTACATTTATGTGCTTTTTTAACATTGGAAGTAAAGGCCTAGTTTTAAAACTTGTATTAAAAATGTGTGACAATTAAAATACTCAAAATAAATAGGGACCATTAATAATAACAACAATATTAATCGTGATAATAATAATAATTATAAAATTAATATAATTATAATATAATGATAATAATAATAGCAATGGTAATAATAATTATAATATAATAATAATAATAATCATAATAATAAAAATGATGATAATACTAACAAAATGATAATAAAAATGATAATGAGTGACCATTGTCATATCTCAAAAGCCAGGAAGTTCATGAGGAGTTTACGACAAACCTTGTGGAAGTGACACGCGCATTTCCCCGGCAGGAAGTCGGTAAAGCGAGCCATGGTCATGTTGAAGGTGTCGACCGGGATGAAGCCCGAGCTCTTGGCATACGACAACGCCGCCTGGTTCTGATGCAACAACCTCTGCTGTTCCCTCTGAAAGTACAGACCATAATGAGTCAATTCAGAAATCGTCCTCATTGCCTTTCCCATCCTGGATCAGGATATAGGCCACGAAAAAACACTTTCTACCTTTCCCTATCCTAAGCTAGTCGCTTGACGTCACTCCATGTCTTCCCTCTTTTCTGTACATCCATTTCCGTGACTCTTCTCCCGGTTCCTCATGGTCTTCCCCCTGATCTTTCACCCTGTGGGTTCCAATCTAACACTTTCCTTATTAAGCTGCTGCTTGACTTCCTGAAATACTGGATGGCAAATTGGAGCCATTTTTTCTAAAAGTACAGACCAGAAGTCCATTCAGAAATACTGGATGGCAAAGTAGAGACATTCTTAGGTGGAGTTGAGCTTGGAAAAGTTGGGTTTTGCATCCGGTCCACACAAAAATAGACACAAAAGGAAATTCGAAATACTTTCCAATTTTCTTTTTCTTATGTTTCACTTAGAGAAAAGGTAATACAGATTTATTCAGTGTTATAACATGGTGGCTAGATAGGCAGACCAAAAAGAGGAAGTCTTTAATACTTGACTCTAAAGTGAACTGTAATGCCTTAAATATAAGTACATGAAAATGAAAAGTGCAAGTTATAGTAATGGTCATGGTTAATTATATATATAAACATATATAAATATATACACGAACCTGCTCCAATCGCTATCTGTCACAGACAACCACATGCACAAACCACCATGACCATTTTCCATTTGTGGATGGG